TGCGGCCAGAGTGGGTGAGATATGTTGGAATTTTCTCACCCCACTAAGGAGTCTGGCGGCCGCATTCTGCACCACCTGAAGTTTCCGCAGCAGCCTCAAAGGTAGCCCCACGTAGAGCGCATTACAGTAGTCTAATCTTGAGATTACGAGCGCGTGCACCAAAGTGGTGAGCGCCCCAACATCAAGATAGGGCCGCAGCTGGGCCACCCGCCTGAGATGGTAAAAGGCGGTTCGGACCACCGACGTCACCTGGGATTCCATAGTGAGCGCCGGGTCAAGATGGATCCCTAAGCTGCGGACCCCATCCTTAGCGGGAAGGGTCACCCCCCCAAAAGAGAGGGAGTTTCCCAAGTTCCCGACTGTGGGGCACCCACCCTTAGTACCTCCGTCTTGTCCGGGTTCAGCCTCAGCCCGTTCTCCTGCATCCATTGCAGTACGGTCCCCAGGCAGCGCTGAAGGGACAGAACGGCTTCTCCTGCGGTAGGTGGAAAGGAGATGTAGAGCTGAGTATTATCGGCATACTGATGACACCGGGCTCCACACCCCCTGATGACCCCACCCAGCGGCCTCATATAGATGTTAAACAGCATTGGGGAGATGATATACAATCTTATAATGCCCAGGTTTTCACTAGACACATATGGTACACAGAGCACGTGGGCTTTGTTTTAAAGGAGATTCTTACTTCCAGAGTCCTCCAGAAAGTACAGCTTTGCTTTAGAGTGATGCTGTTTGCACAGTTTCCTTCATGCCAAAAATATGGGATTTGAAGATGGAAGCACAGCTTTTTGCACTGCTTCTTCCAGAGTTTGCCAGAATAAGGAAAGGAGATTGGAGGTTGGAATCTGGTTGTGGACTAGATGCACAATCCCAGGATGCCCTCAGAAGAAGGGAATGGTAAACAGCTTCTGAATATTCTCTGTCTACAAAACCTTGGAAAGTGTTGCCATAAGTCAGAATTGACTTAATGGAACAGTTAGCTGGCCGAATAGCTCTTTGGCTTAGATATAAGGTATTCAGAGGTTGGATGTCTGATTCCCCACAGTGGATCCTGTAAGAAGACCTAGCCTGTGTGTCCCTGGGCAAGCTACATACGTTTTGTTGACTTCTGGCTGTTTTCGTTCAGATACCTTATCAAATTAATATTTAACATTTTTGTACGCTAACTTGAGCATGAAAACTGGTACAGTATATCACAGAAGTGAGTACACCCCCTCACATTTCTTAAATATTTTAGTACATCTTTTCATGTGACAACACTGAAGAAGTGACACTTGGCTACAATGTAAAGCAGTGACTATACAGCTTGTATAACAATGCAAATGTGCTGTCCTCTCAAAATAACACAACACACAGCTGTTAATGTCTAAATCACTGGTAACAAAAGTGGGTACACCCCTAAGTGACAATATTTTATGTAGCCATTATTTTCCAGCACTGCCTTAACCCTCTCGGGCATAGAGTTCACCAGAGCTTCACAGGTTGCCACTGGAGTCCTCTTCCACTCCTCCATGACAACATCACATAACTGGTGGATGTTAGAGACCTTGCACACCTCCACCTTCCATTTCAGGATGCCCTACAGATGCTCAGTAGGGTTTAGGTTTGGAGACATGCTTAGCCAGTCCATCACCTTTACTTTCAGCTTCTTTAGCAAGGCAGTGGTCGTTTTGGAGGTGTGTTTGGGGTCATGTTGGAATACTGCCCTGCAGCCAGTCTCCAAAGGGAGGGGATCGTGCTCTGCTTAAGTATGTCACAGTACATGTTGGCATTCATGGTTCCCTCAATGAAGTGTAGCTCCCCAGTGCCTGCAGCACTCATGCAGTCCCAGACCATAATACTCCCACCACCATGCTTGACTGTAGGCATGACACACTTGTCTTTGTACTCCTTACCTGGTTGCTGCCACACACACTTGACACCATCTGAACCAAATAAGTTTATCTTGGCCTCATTGGACCACAGGACATGATTCCAGAAATCCATGGCCTTAGTCTGCTTGTCCGCAGCAAACTGTATGTGGGCTTTCTTGTGCATCATCATTAGAAGAGGCTTCCTTCTGGGATGACAGCCCTGGAGACCAATTTGATGCAGTGTGCGTCTTATAGTCTGAGGACTGACAGACTGACCCCCACCCCTTCAACCTCTGTAGCAATGCTGGCAGCAGTCGTACATCTATTTCCCAAAGCCAAGCTCTGGATATGACACTGAGCACAGGCACTCAACTTCTTTGGTCGACCATGGTGAGGCCTGTTCTGAGTGGAACCTGTCCTGATAACAACTGCTGTATGGTCTTGGTCACCGTGCTGCAGCTCAGTTTCAGGGTTTGGGCAATCTTCTTATAGCTAGCCCATCTTTATGTTGAGCAACAATTTGTTTTATCAGATACTCAGATAGTTCATTACCATGAGGTGCCATGTGGAACTTCCAGTGACCAGTCTGAGAGTGAGAGCGATAACACCTGTTCCCCCTTCATACCTGAGACTTGTGACACTAATGGGTCTCATGACACCAGGGAGTGAAAACAGCTACTTGGGCCAGCACATTTACACTGTTCTACAAGCTGTATACTCACTGCTTTACATTGTAGCCAAGTGTCATTTCTTCAGTGTTGTCACATGAAAGTATATGCTAAAATATTTATGAAATGTGAGGGGGTGTACTCCTGTGATATACTGTATATACAGTACATTTCTTTATATGTCTTTGATCAGAGCCTGGAGATGACCCCCTGGCCAGAATCCTATTGGTCGAAATCCAGTACTGTAGTAAGTCACAACTAGAGTAGGGTTGATAAATTAGTGGGGATTTGGTGAATCAACTTCTTTGTAAGTTCCATTGATTAAATGAGACTTTTACTAATAGGACTTACTTGTGACTAAGCATTGGATTTGGCCACTGTGGATTTACTTTGGTGTAAGTATAGTTGCGTAAATCATGATGGTGAATTGCTTTTAATTTACAAATTGTCACTCATGTTCCTCATCATTTGATTTGGTATGCAACTGGGAGTGTGAATGGTGACTTGTTAATTAGCAGGAATTTGCCACCATGATTTATACAGTTACACTTATGGCAGTGGAAAGCCTCAGTAGGATTGTGGACATTAAAAGTAACATTGTCAGCATTTTTAGCAATATTACATAATATTTGAAATATGGTGACATAACAGTTATGCAAATTGGAGAATAAATGTTTGAATTACATTTCTTGACATTTTAAAATAGCAAATTGGGCTTCCTTGATGTTACCACACTAATGCTACCGCGAACCAAGTTGTGAACTGTGACCCAATAGAGTTTAAGTTCAGAATACCTGATAAGTGTTTTATTGATTGTTTAGCTTTGGATATTAAGTATCAACACTTTATTTTATATTGAAAATGTACACAGTGTTCTCTCAGATTCTCCCATCCCAACTTTTAAAAAAAAGATTCTTGGTATATTGTTATTTAAGAACATGTTTATTGAACATAAATTGTCCTAGAAACTGACACTTTTTTCTTCTTATTTCAGATTGGAAGATGAATAATCTTTCTTTTAGTGAACTGTGCTGCCTCTTCTGTTGTCCACCATGTCCAGGGAAAATAGCATCCAAACTGGCATTTTTGCCTCCCGACCCTACTTATACACTGATGTGTGATGAAAGTGGGAGTCGTTGGACTCTACATCTTTCTGAACGAGCAGACTGGCAGTACTCTTCTCGAGAAAAAGATGCTATTGAATGTTTCATGACTAGAACCAGCAAAGGTAACAGGATTGCCTGTATGTTTGTACGGTGTTCTCCTAATGCCAAGTATACCTTGCTGTTCTCTCATGGGAATGCTGTTGACTTGGGTCAGATGAGCAGCTTTTACATAGGACTTGGTTCACGGATTAATTGCAACATATTTTCATATGATTATTCTGGATATGGAGCCAGTTCTGGAAAACCAACAGAGAAGAATTTATACGCTGACATCGATGCTGCTTGGGTAGCTCTTAGAACAAGGTAAATAGAGATTTTTGGTGGGGGAAATTGTGTGCATATATAAAATGTTCCAGCATTCTTTGCAAAAATCCTTCATTTAATTTCTTTGCAAGAGACTTTTTGAATACTAATTGTCTGCTCATAATTACTTGGGTTACCAGAGAGAAAAGGAAAATACTACCAAATACTGATGTGGCAACTGAAAGTGACACTTTATATTAGTAGTGAAAGGCTATTAATAAATTCCTGATTTTATTTAATAAAACTGATAAATTTATATTGGCAGAAAGAAATAAGGCTTTCTACTGAAACTCAGCCTGCTGCTGATTCATGTGTTTAGAAAGTATATTACTGTTTTGTGAGACATTTCAGTACAGTATTTAATATTTAAACGCTTTTAAAAGTCAAAAATACTCTGGTGTGATGGAGAGACATCTGCAAATTAAGAAGTTATTTGAAATAAAGAGGACATACTTAAATAAATGAAGTTCCTCTGAATTCCTAAAAAGCAGCAATATATGCTATAAGACTTTAAGATACCCTTACAGATCACTATAAGATTTTCTTCTCCCTATTTTTAGTCTGTTGATCTTTAAATTAAAGATATGGTGTTTGAATATGGATTCACTTTACCATAGTCTTGTTAGTTTACCTTTTCCCTTGCTATACTTTTTTAGTTCATCTATTTCAGTACTTCTTTGAGGGGAGTTGTTATTGCTTCTCCTTACTTTTTTAAAAATAATGGAAGAGGCAGTTGTTCCTTAGTGGCTTGTCTAAATGAAGGAATGAACGCTCTACTTCTGTGAACATTATTTTGGACCATTCATGATAAAATTGCACATTGGTCTTTTCTCCTGCTTGGAAATAGAATTGTAGCAATTTGTAGTAGAGTGTGAGTCATGAAGACTGAAAGAAATGTTGCCATTCATCTGCTTACCATGAGGCAATTGGTGTCTGGCCCTTGCTGGGTATTGAATTCCTTGTTTCTTAATGCCACTGGTGGAATGTGAAATGTAGATCTCTCAAAGGTTCCACTTAAGATATTCTATAGAAATCTGACATCACCAAGCAACTGGGAAGGATCTTTCTGGCCAAATCGGTAGGAAATCTGCCCTACACTGGATGACTGGTGTTTTTCTGTATTTAAGGGAGACATGCACTGAGGTTACTTATATTTCTGAGGCATGCAGGGATTAACTAATTTCTGCATTCATCATCCACAGGTGAATTTTTAAGACCTTTCTGCTGCCAGGTATTTATCTTCTGCAGTGCTCTAACACTTTTTGGATTGCTTGAAAATACAAAGGGTAGAATGGAGCTTTCATGTTTGGTTGTGCTCACTTTTGTACCTGACTCTGGATTTGCGTTTTAAATTGTTGCACATACTTAGACTAAGTAAAACTGAGCAATTTTTCCCACCCAAGTTCCCATGCCATTTCCCCTCATATTCCAAAATACAGCTCCCTGTAATTGAAAGTAATTTGAAGGGTTTCTGGCTGAATTCCTACTGAGGACTACCAGTATTAATAAAGGCTAGGAAATAGTTGAAGTTTCCTTGTCCTAGTTCCATACAAGTTTCCCAAAGCATGTCCTCTTCCACAATTGTTATAAAAGATATTAATGGTACATTGTTGAATATAGGCAGTGGTAGGAATTGGTTAGTGAGAAAATACCCTTTTAGTGAGTTGCCATTGGTACCAACTGGCTAAAAGAGTGTTTTCTCACTAAAAGGTAACAATGTTACCTTTTGTTAGATAAAGACATATATAAAAATCACAGCTGTAGCTGGACCGATGTGTTCTCTGCACTGCACACCATGTTCTGTGATAGTAGTTGGATTTAAACTACTGCTTTTCGGAATTGTTGTGTAAACATTACCTCTATTTCCAGTGTGTGAGTGCCATTATTTATTTAATCAAAACAGCACACACTAAAGAAAGATATTGGAAGACTTGGGGGAACATCAAGATTTGCAGAAACAAACAAACTTCTTTAAAAGCCAAAAGATAAAGAGCCCTAAAATGGTCCAGTAAGGCCTGAGTATGCTTAGTGGTAATGTGGTAGAGGGCATGGCTATCTAACTGGAACAATGAACCTATAAAATTGTCTTCAAGACCTAACCTATTTCAGAAACTTCATGTCAGGTTTGATACAGTGTCCTAGAGCATACTAGGTTAACATTGGATGCAATATAAATGAATTTTAATTCCTTTGACAAAAAAAAGATGATTGGGAGATATATAATTTGAATATGCCACTGCTAGCTTTACTAAAGGTTCAGAGTGCTTTAAATGGACCAGTAGGGGATTAAGTCTGAATAAGCAGTAAGGAAACAAAGTGTAGTATTGTATTAGAGGCTAAGAATTGAAACCTGTGTAGGGAAAAAAAGAGTAAATAGTAAAATATCTTGTAGGGCAAATGCTTTCTGTGATTTGAACTTTGGGTTTACTTTCTTCTTATCTATTGTAAAGTAAAACCTAGTTTATTAGTTTAGAAAAATAAACAAGAATACTTATAAACCTTTAAATCATATACTGTATCACTTTGTATTTCTGCCTAAGCAGACCATGTATATACAAAGAGCTACTTTCTTTTCTTAAACAGTTTGAAATGCCTCTCAATGCCCAAAGTGGTTTATCATGTAAAATTTGGGAGGAGGGTGAGAAATTAACCATGTGTCTTCTAGGACAGAGGTCCCCAACCCTGGTCCGCAACCCGGAGCAATCCATGACCTATCCAGGACCGGGCTGTACACACAGATCTCCTTCCCCCCTGGAAGTGCCTCCACAAGCACCGTCGCACGCATATGCACAAACGCGTTCTGCACCTGCCGTGCGCATGCGTGCGAGTACCCCCTGTGCAAGTGTAATGTGCTCATAAGTGTGACGTGTGCATAAGCGTGACATGTGCATAAGCATGAGTGTGTTCCACCTCACGAGCGTGCCATGCACATGTGCACAAGCGTGGCATGCACATGCACACAAGCGAGCTCCGCCCCCTGCAGGCGCCCCAACCCCCTGAACCAGTCCACAGTTGGGAAAAAGGTTGGGGACCACTGTTCTAGGAGACTTGGAATTATTAGAATATTTCTTTGGATCCTGGGCAAATCTTACTTAGTTTCCCTTTTGGTACATTTTTGTAATCAGATTCTGTATTTGTGGATCCAGAGAGGACAAAGATGTTTTCCATTATTAAGTTGCCTTTTAAATGAGTATCCCAGAAGTCAATTTTATGCTGTCATTTTCAGACGTTTGGGCGATAGACAGCCCCCCCCCCGCTCAACTTTGTACCTATCAAGTAGCAATATTTGCTTTGGCATAAAGAAAATAAACACCAAGCATCAAAGGTCTTAAGAAAGGAGGGAAGCTATGTCCTCTTGTATTTATATATATATGTATGTAATTTCAGTGCTGTATATATATTGTGTTGCTATTGATATATTGTGATGACCTATGGTTTTAAGCAATAAAGCTTGTTCTGTTCTGTAATCTGAAAAAGATTCTGGTTTTGAATTAAGTTTTAGGAAGGTGTGAGAGATCATTTGTAAACTGTTCATTCTGAAATTTCAGAAAGCTATATAGGCACTTTAGGTTATGTGAGGAAAACCAATGGCTGTTAAGCAAATACTAAACATAATTTTAATGTGCTCAGTCTCAGTCGTATTTTTTTAAAGAACAGCATCTGCTTCTATTGTTGAGTATTGGAAGCAGAACATTCTATCTGAAAATACTTGTCTACAGATAACTATTCAAGCTTTGCTTTTTTGGAATTCAAGTATTATCTTGCAAGTTCGTCAAATAGGATGAAAAACCTGAGAAATAGTTGTATTTCAGATTTTCAAAGAAATGTACTTCCAGCGTTTCCCAATATGTATATTCATAGAATCTATTCCTTTTGCATTAACACTCAAACTACTTTTCCAGGTATGGAATTCGCCCTGAAAATGTGATTATCTATGGTCAAAGCATAGGAACAGTGCCGTCAGTGGATCTTGCTGCTCGCTATGAAAGTGCTGCTGTAATTCTCCATTCTCCTCTGACCTCAGGAATGCGAGTAGCTTTCCCTGACACGAAGAAGACCTACTGCTTTGATGCATTCCCAAAGTAAGCTGTAATACTTTTAAAAGGTTTAAAGAAGTGATTAACCATCTTTAAATACTCCTTCCTTAAAAGCAAAAAGGAAGCCATTAAACCAAATATACAGGACAGAATTCTCTTGCATTTCACAGTGTGAGCAGACCATCATGTACCTGCACTATTGTCTATCCATTACATTTCTCTGCTTTCTTAAGTCATGGAAGCAGTAGTGCAAGGGATGGGAAGCAGAGAGGAAAAAACCACTGCATTTTCCTTAACATAAACAGTTTTCTCAATAGGCTTTTGGCCATAGAGGTTTGGACACTGTGGTGCCATTTGAGTAGACTTTACCATAAATAAAGCAAAAAAAAAAAACAAAGCATGTTGCTTCAGCCCCATAGAGCTTAAAGCACTCTAGGTGGTTTACCATTTAATATGGAGGCTACACATTATCCCCCACCCCCAGCAAGCTGGTTACTCAATTTACCAACCTTGGAAGAATGGAAGGCTGTCTGAACCTCAAGCCAGCTATCTGGGATTGAACCTGGATTGTGAGCAAAGTTTTGGCTTCAGTCTTGCAGTAATATATGTGTTAAATAAAAATACTTCTTAAAATACCTTGATAAGAGATAGGGATATTCATATTTGTAAACAAATGCAAATATCCTCTTCCCAACTGGACCTAATGAGGGCCTGGCCCCTTGGAACGGACTGTCGATTCACATGTCCGAGCACCGCAAAGGTCCCACTCTTCTTGGCACAGACTCCGGGAGCTCTGCTGTCTTCCTGCTCAGCTGGCCATTTAGCAGCCATGCAGGGAGAATCATCCTCCCTCCCCCTGCCTGGCGTTGCCAGCGAAGCAGGGAGATAGCAGAGCTCTAGGCAAGATTGGTGGGAAAAACAGTACCTTCACAGCACCGGGATGTGTGAGTGGATGATCTGGTCCCAGGGGCCGGACCCTCATTAGGTCCAGCTGGGATGGGGGATATTCATAAACGAATACAAATACGCCATCTCTAATCTTGATCTAGACTTGGCTCCACATCTGTGGTTTGGGTTCAAACAGGTCTCTTATTTGTAGAGGAATCCAGGACTGTGCAAAATTTCCTACTGAGAAAAAGGAGCAAATGAACAACTCATTCTATAGTCCCAATGTCCGTCTAGTTTGCTTTTATAGGAAGTTTCAGAACCCAGAAACAGTTGTCAGAAAAATCCTATCTTGCATTGCCACTAGGCATCCCTCAGAATGTAGTATTCCTTGAGAACCAAAAGCTCAAGTAGGCATATTGCCCTTCAAATAGCCTGGGCCCAGCACTTCACAATGTTCTCAGAAACTGGTAACCAGTTAAGCTATCATAACATAGTTATGTGCTAGATAGTCTGACTGCTGCATTCTGGTATGTTTTTGGCACAGTAATCAAAGGCCTGCATCATTATGGCCAAATGACATCTCCAGGGATGGGTGCAGTTAACTGTACAAATGCACTGCAGGTTACTGTTGGAACGTGAATGTCCAGGTTCGAGCATTGGGATTGAATTCTGAAGGACACACCAACTGCAAACTTACATTTTCAGGGGAGTGTTCTGCTGTCTAGCAAGACTAAATCTCAGTCCTCTAACTTGATCAGCCTTTTGACAGACCAGAAGTACCTCTGCCTTGTCTGTTTGTTGGGGCACATCCAGTCCATTAATGACATGAGGCACTGGTTTAAACTGAAAATAGCTTCCTTAGAATTAGCTAGAAAGAAGAGAGAGTTAGTTATGTGATATCTGTGTAGTAGTGACACTGAACCCTCAAAGCAGAAAACATCTTTCAACAATTCCATGTTAATATTAAACAGCATGGGGGACAAGATGAACTCCGAGAGGCCCTACAGTCCAGAGGCCAAAGAGATATTTCCAGCACTACTTTCTGAATTTGTTTCTCCAAAAAAGGACCAGAAAAAGCAAATTACAGTGTCTCCAAGTGGTGGGGTGTCCCAGATGCCTACCATGATTCATGGTAATGAAGGCTGCCATGAGATCCAGCAAACTAATGGGGATACATTCCTCCTGTTCAATTTCCAGCACATATTATTCACTTTTACAAACATCTATCGATCTATTATAAAGTATCTTTTTTATGCATCACCCAAGCAACTTTGATAATTGAATTTATTTAAAATGGTAATATTTTAGTTGATCTAAAGTTGATATGCATAAATAAATCCTAAGCAGCTGTTTGTAAAGTTGTGCACTCTCATATACTGATTATTTTTTTATGTTCATATAGCATTGACAAGATCTCTAAAATAACATCACCGGTATTAATAATCCATGGGACTGAAGATGAAGTGATTGACTTTTCACATGGCTTAGCTTTGTATGAGCGCTGCCAAAGACCCGTGGAACCTCTGTGGGTAGAAGGAGCTGGACACAATGATGTTGAGCTTTATGGACAGTACCTTGAAAGATTAAAACAATTTGTATCACAGGAACTGCTGAACTTGTAAATTGCTGTATATAGTTATTTGCAGTTGAATTTTGTTGCAGAAGTGCAGATCTTGACAGCCACTGCATAAAACCTGATGGTTTTGTTTTCAAATCAGGTCAGTTGCCTTCATATGTGTACAGGTGATGATTTGTAAACTTAATTGATGAAGGTTTTATTACCAGTATTAACTGGAACCAACAAATGAGGGCAGAAAGCTTGTGTTGTTCATATAATTTTGTGCAAGTTTACTTAGGCTACATTTAAGTCAATTTGCGCATTTTTCTTAAGATGTACAAAAATCATAGAAAACAAAGTGACATTTTAATTATGTAAAATCCAATACTGTAAAAAGGTGTTGCCAAATGCTTTAGCATATCAAACAAATTTATATACAATATTTTTAAAACATCTCAGATTGTACTGTGACCTCTTCTGCTGCACAGGTATAATTGAAGCAGTTGTACAATAGCCATTACATTTGAAGGATAAGAATTAGTAATTAAAGCAACCACTGGAATTTATAGGCCCTGTTATACAGGGAAAAAGTGAAAATACGTTTATCATCCTTCATGTCTTATTCTCAATGTTTCACTTTTCCTGAATCATTAATAACCACAAATGCTTATTTGGCCATTGTTAGTTTGCAAAACAAAGGCACAGAATCTTGATTCTTTTATAATCATGCCTATTAATGGGGTTCATACTAAAGCAACTAAACACAGTGGTTTCTCTGAAACTAGTAAGGGTGGGGGAAATGTCTTTTTGTGGCCATTTTGAAATCATATAAAGCAGATAAGAAAAATCCTAATATTTATCTGGCATTTTTGTACAGCAAACATGCAAAGTTGCAGTTGTCATTTCTGATTTTGATTTGAATGTTCGTGAGTGTGGGACTAATTGTTTTTAGTTATTACAAGAGTTCTACTAATGTACTTCGTATAGTGAAATGAATGTTGACAACTCATAGTAAAATAAGTTGCCTTTTCCCTTGAATACATTTTGCTTGAATAAAATACAGTATAAAATAGATCTAAAATGTAGCCTAATTTGTAAAGAAAGTAATACTCAAATACACACTGTGCTTCTTATTTTAAAGCCTTACATAGTTTACTTGTTCTTCGTGTTTTTGTGATTGTCTAGGAATATTGTATAATGTATTAATGTGTTAATACTTGGATTCAGATGTGTTCAACTCAAATAAGTGAAATTCCCCACACTTGATACTAAGATCTTACTGAAAAACATGAATGCTAAGATCCTGATTAGTTTATACTTTCTGGCATGAAAAAAGCAAGAGAGCACAATTCCTAATATGACTAACACATCTTGCCAAAATGTGCTGCTTCTATTTACATTGATGTATATCTTCCCTCTTCAGATATCTGTTACTTCACCATCAACTTCTGCTTTAGAGAGTCAGCCTGATCCAAGACATTCTGTTAATGATCATCACTTTCACCTTAAGCAAAGTCATGCCAACTTCTCATTAAGCTTCCAATAGTTTCTGTTTTTCATAAACAAAGGACCGGACATATTAAGTATACATGGTAAACTATGGATTGTCACAATGGGTAGCATATACATGGTAGAGTTAAGTAGATCTAGAAGTGTGCCATTTGCATAGAGTCCTCTCTGTTGTAATTTAATGCCAAAATACAGTTGGAACATGGTGTGGCATAATAACACATTTCATACTTCTCTCCACTCCGTGTGTGTGGAGGGGGGCAAATTACTTCAGTTAGTTGTCTTGTACTGCTTAAACCACACAAACATTTGTCCACATGATTCCCTAGATGAGAAATATTGGATTGACACTGCAAGTAACACCAGTTCTTAAGGATGAACTCATTTGGAGTTGTGCTAGAGAAGTTAAGCTGCTTTCTACTGTTACTGATTGAAACATGCACACATTTCTATCAATTAAGATTTTATGAAACATCATGATATAATTAAGTAAACTGGATTGGCTCCATCCAGACTTAGTCATGTTGAGAGGAGACCTCTTAAGATCAAGGTCTGCTGATCAGAAGGTAGGTTCCAAATATGATTACATCTGGGTACAACTCAATGACACCAAAAAAGAAAGAAAAATGTCTGCACCAGCTTTGCTTTACACATACTGAGATTTTTACTTGGCATATAAAATGAAGTGTCTGTGTAAACATTGGTGGGTTACAGTACTACAGAGTATACATAGATTCATAACATTACCTTTGAAATTGTTGCTGAAAGTACTGGAACTATTTTATAGTGTGCAATTCAGTTTTTATAGACTTGATCAGTAAATCTGTTTGAAGTCCTGTTTTGCAATACTAAATTAAAGCTTAATGGTCAGAAATCTGTTATGCTTCTGCATAAAGCAAATCAAAAGGTGTAAACTGCAGTGTGTCTTGGTTCATGACTAGGAAAACTTTGACTTCTTAACTAGTGTCGAATTTGCCACTGCAATTTCCAGTGTTTGACTTATACTGGTGTAAGCAATTGGATGCTGACTGTTTATCCAAAAATCTATGTAGTTGATAATGTCAAATTTCACACCAGTATATTTGCTTCAGCATTCTTTACACCTAGAGAGTGTGCTATATTTTAAACAGCTAATAACTTCCCTGCAGTGTTATTTTCTATTGTTTTTTTATCCTTTGTTAAGTTATAAATGTAACAAACTTGGAGATACCTTAACTGTTATGTCTATAGTGTTAATTTTTTTCTATTTTTAAATGAATAAATAGCTTTCTAGTTTTTCAAATTAAAAACTGCTCAAATATAGCTGAAAAATTTTTATTTCAATCCATACGAACCTTCAGAAAACATTAAATATAATTCAGGATTTGTTTTCTTATTTTATTGAAAAATACAGTTATGTCACATTTTTATTCACAAATCAGAAAAATGATATAGGTGACTATGTTGTACCTGCATGAGATGAACTAGAGCTGCAGCTGCTGCCTCTGTAATCCATGTGTGAAGTTCTGTGTAAGCTTTCTCCAGCCTAATGCCTTCAAGATATTTTGATTAGACCTTCTGTCAATTTCCGCTACCATGCCCATTGACAGGAAATGATAGGGTTTATAGTCCAGAACATCTGGAGGGCACTAGGTTGGGGAAGGCTATTCTTGTTTTTGGATGGAAGCAGATATTTTCAGGCAACTTAAACATTCACTGTAGGATGAATGAAGCTGTATAATAGTAAGTGGGATTTCATTATGCATGTATGACATTATATTTCAAATTGTCCTTGTAAGGAATATGGGATAATTTGACTCATTGTTTGGCTTGACATGTCGAACACGCAGTTATATCCAGTTGAGATTATGCCAGAATTTTACAAGTGTCTGCTTCATGGTGTACTTATCTGTAACTATCTAGGAGAGTTTGCCAATTAATGTCTTTTTTTAATCAACAGAAGAGAAATAGGTTGCTGTACCTGGTATTGCAGTAAAATATAAAAGGCTTCAATATCATACAACTTTTACAGTTTGAGAAATAGCATATTGCTAATTTGTGATGGCTAACCAGGATAGCCACCTAGTGATTGAGGTACAGGCTACAAAATTACTGGTTTTTGGGTGGGGGAACCCTGTTTTAAATTAATAGGATAAAACAATAGTACTCAAGTATAGGTTTTACACAACAAGACTTTTAGGAGGATTTAAGTTGACCTTTTTTTGTCAAAAGTTAAGTACGGCTTCTAAAGATTCTCTAATGATTATACTAGAACTCTAGATGGACGTTAATAGTACATCCTGCTAACATCCAGTGTAACTTCTGCAGTTCCAAGTATGATCTGATTCTAGTTCTGAGATTTTTTCCCTAGATTGCTAGTGATAGTCTGAATAATTTCTTTAGTGCTATATGTTAAAAAAATGCCGTTGACCAGAAGAGTTCTGCCATCTTTGTGCAGGGAAGAATGGATTGGTGCTAAAAAGCATTGTGAAGAGGGAGGCAGAGTCAAATACAGACTTGAGGCCCTATTCAGTCATTATTCACCAGGCTGCAGCCAATACTACTAGGAGTCTCTTGCTCAATCCCCTCTGCCATTGTTTACTTCATGTAAAGAGCTGGAGGAGAGAGGTTTCTGTTGCAGAGTGCCTGGCTGCACCCAAGAACATGGGAAAGATCAGTGACCTTGCTTGTGCAGAATCTATCTACATGAACAAGAACTTCTTATACGTTACTTTATGTATGAAGAAAGCAATAACTGAGAGTGGGAGGGCTAAGTGATACTGCTTGTATCTTGGCTGTTTCATGATGAGTAATGCCCAAGTAGGTCTTAGAAGACCTCTCATTTCAGTCCAGGAACAAGCTGGGCAGACTTTATAGTGTTCATGACTTTGGGGGAACGCAGGGTGTTACTTGGATCTTGCAACCTGAGAGCAGAATGGATACAGATTGTCTGGCTTCTGGATAAGCACTACCTCAATCTGGTCTTGTTACTCTGGGATATTAAAGACTTCACATTTGGAAGAATTGAATATGGTGAAGGATGTGTCACATTATTACAGAGTCTAAACCAGTCAATGTGAAATTTACACTTAACCAAATATTAACCTTAACTAACTACTTGTATTCTTCCCCTTCTGTTAAGACTGGATTAATCCAAGGTTAGGTCTAAGTTTTTCCCAATTGTTAATCTTGTTTTAAAATTTTGCTGATCATTGTACATCAAGACAACTCAATAAAGTCTAGCTTTTTACTATACTGTTTCAACTTCCTTTGTGTGTGAAACTGTGCCTTATACCCCCTACAGTGTTAGATGCCAAGGAAAGGGCGGAAAATTATAATTTGGTACTGACCCATATAACTGCATTATACAAAATTAGCAGTAATTACAGATTGAGGTATTTATATTCATATAAGAATACGAATCTCCACCCAGAGGTGGAGATAGCAAGGGTCCGGCCCCCTGTAGCCAGACCATCCACTCACCATTCCACTGCTGCTGTGGGCTCCGCACTCCCTTCTTATCGCTCTGGAGCTTGCAGTGGATTAGCCACTTTTCAACCTGGCAGAGGGGCTCTTCAGTAACAGTAATAATTTGTAGTTGTATTCTTGAAGGCTTTAGAATAATTTGTAGCTTTAAAAAAGCTAGTGTGCTATAGTTCAATCTTATTCAGTGAAAATAATTAGAGCACATGGAGTTGAATTAGTGGTTGATTTTTCTTCTGAATAACAAAATGCTTCAAATGATACGTGATGTTCATTTGGATTAGCTTGGAATGGGTGATTACAGTTTTCTGATGCAATGGGAGTATGATGGGGATGGGGGTAAGGCTTTAACCCTTTGCCTCTTTTCCATCTTGGTTGGAGTTGGGGGGGATACCTGTTTGCCATTGTTTGGTTTTCATTATTTGATGGTTTTATTGATTATATGTTGTGTTTCTTTCTTACAATACTATTTGTTTTACTTTATGTTCATTTACTTTGGATGTAAACCACCCAGCATTGTGCTTGTCACTAATCAGTGTCATATACAACTTAAATAAATATTACAAAAATGCACATTTATAAGATAATTAGTGCATGTGAAAAATGTTTTCAATAAGATTTTTTCCCATTTAAAATTTTGAATATGAAGATGGTTTAAGAATTTACAGCCTAGGAAATATCTCTAAGGGGATGGGTGGGACTGCAGCACTGTATGATAAAAATCTGGAAGCATTCGGGAATTCTAAAAAGAAATTTCAAACGCATGTTACCTAAGGTATGCAAAACTACTACATTAACCATCCCTAAACAAGTCAATTGGTATAGAAATAAAATTACAGGTTTGTGTCTAATTCCCCAAACTACTCATGTGCAAGTAATACATAGTAAACCTTGGACTTTTTCCAAAATTAAAATTTCAAGAATAGATTAAGTTGTCTTACCTATTGTTGATCTGATGTTTAATATACTGACCTCCAGCATTGTGGTTTCGGCAGCTCATCTAGGAAAAGATAGTACAGTACTTTATAAGAGTGTGTGGGCCTCAGCCATCTACTCATTGACGCTATTCACTCCGGTGACCTGCTTTGCATTTTTACCCTATTTACATTATATGTTTTCTAAACTAAGAGCTGATTGTGCTGTTCTTGCCTCCTGGAAAATAAAGCACTTACAACGTGCAGTTATAATGTGAAATAATTTGGCAGTCATTCAGCAACAGATCTTTGTGAACGGGCAATCACAGATAAAACAGAAATATGCTTATCTCTGTGGTCTTCCACAGAATTCTGTGAGATATAGAGGTGCTAGCCAGCAATTCTGAAGTGTTCAGCAATCAAATATAAACTGAGTCATGTGCAAACATGTGAAGTAACCTTATGATTAAACAAACAGCGAGGACTACAGCTGGCTTTCATACTGCACTTACATGGTACTGTAGTTTACAGGATGTGTCCAAATGTTCCAACAGCAAACTAGCTGTCTTGAAAAAACTTTCCTTCAGTATTTGTTATCCTGAGACTGGCATCTCTATCAAGGTCAGATTTGTTATACCATACAGGGAGTAGAACTAATTTATTTCACATTGAAGCATTCAGTCCCTTGTGTTCCTCCTTCTTTCACAGTTTATAATCCAACTGCCCATGTACAAGTCTGACAGCTGACATGCCATAAAGACTGGAACAGTGTCAACATGACCAGAAGCTGAGGAGGAGCAATTGCATTAGCTTTAATATATTTATACACTAGAAGTAAGTGCTCCTGCATGTCTGCTTTTATTAGTCAAACATAATTTTGGTCACTGAAAGACTGTCATTACTTCACATTTAGCCAATCGTAAATGTTACTGACTGTAATACTAGAGGAATTCAGTACTATGCCATACCTGGCCAATAGAGGAGTACGTATACTTCGGCTCCTGAGGAGATAGCAGCAATTCTCCATGAGTGTGTTAATTGGGGTGGGTGGGGCATTCTGAAATGCCTACTCAGGACTATGGGAGTCAAGGGATTTTATGTCAGTGGCTGCCAACCTTGGATAAACCAGGTGTTCTTGGACTATAATCCCCAGAAGCCCTCACCATCATTTGTGCTGGCTGGGGTTTCTGGGAGTTGTAGTCCAAGAACACCTGGGTTACTCAAGGTTGGGAACCACTGATTTATGTAGTAAGTCATTTCCCCCAACAAATGAGATCAAGCATGTATATATAGATCCACATTTAGAAATAGTGAAATTTAAGTAGAAATATATATTTTACTGTAGTGAGAAAGACTGCAAAAGTGCCTTATGTGCTTGCTACACTATCTGCAGGTGCCAACTATTGATAGGTAAATTCAAGGCTCCACTCCCCTCTTTTTATAATTGTCTATCTGAAATCTAATTGATATTTGTGTAAGGTTTGTATAAGCTGTCATGGCTAACAACGAGGTGCTGAGGCACATGACCAAGCAGCTTGTTAAGTAGCCATAACTAGTTCTGGCAGGTTACAGAAAATGCATGTTTACACCTGTAGAATTCTAGCCGTTATCTTTAAACTTGACTGGGGCCAGCCATTCCTTCAAATACAGGACACCTTCAAATAGAGACCAATATTCTGCCAACCATTCAAACAGGACGGTCTTCTGTAATGTAGGATGCATAGCTGCCCTTTCAAAAGTTTAATGATCAATTTTGGGCTGTCTGTAATACTCTATTTCCCCGAAAATAAGACCTAACATGAAAATAAGACCTAGTATGATGTTTTTCAGCCCCTTCATGGATTGCTGCCTTGTGGCGAAGGGGCTTGAGTAATTAAGAGAAGCTATGGGCTATGCCGTTCAGTTACACCCAGGACAGGTAATAGTGGAGAGTTCTGACTAAACGTGATCCACCTGGAGCAGGAACTGGCAAAAACAAGACCTGTAGCTGATTGTCACTCTGATCATCAGCTTCTTATAGCAAAATTCAAGCTTAAACTGAAGTAAGTAGGAAAACCACTGGGCTAGACAGGTATAATCTAAACCAAATCCCTTATGCATACACAGTGGAAGTGAAGAACAGATTTAAGGAAATAGATTGGGTGGACAAAGTGCTTCAAGAACTATGGATGGAGGTTTGTAACATTGTACAGGAGGCAGCAACAAAAACCATCCCATAGAAAAGGAAATGCAAGAAAGAAAAGTGGCTGCCCAGCAAGGCCTTACAAATAGCAGAGAAGAGAAGGGAAACAAAATGCAAGGGAGATAGGGAAAGTTACAGAAAACTGAACGCAGACTTCCAAAGAATAGCAAGGAGAGACAAGAGGGCCTTCTTAAATGAACAGTGCAAAGATATAGAGGAAAATAATAGAAAGGGAAAAATCAGAGATCTATTCAAGAAAATTGGAGATATTAAAGGAACATTTTTCTGCAAAGATGGACATGATAAAGGACAAAAATGGTAGGGACCTCACAGAAGCAGAAGACATCAAGAAAAGGTGGCAAGAATACACAGAGGAATTATACCAGAAAGATCTCGATGTCCCAGACAATGCAGATAGTGTGGTTGCTGACCTTGAGCAAGACATCCTGGAGAGCGAAGTCAAGTGGGCCTTAGAAAGCATGGCTAACAACAAGACCAGTGGAGGTGATGGCATTCCAGTTGAACTATTTAAAAACTTAAAAGATGATGCTGTTAAGGTGCTACACTCAATATGCCTGCAAGTTTGGAAAACTCAGCAGTGGCTAGAGGACATGAAAAGATCAGTCTACATCCCAATCCCAAAGAAGGGCAGTGCCAAAGAATGCTTCAACTAATGAACAATTTTACTCATTTCACATGCTAGCAAGGTTATGCCCAAAATCTTCCAAGGTAGGCTTCAACAATATGTGGACCAAGAACTCCAGAAGTACAAGCTGGATTTCGAAGGGGCAGAGGAACTAGAGACCAAATTGCTAACATGTGCTGAATTATGGAGAAAGCCGGAGATCCAGGAAAACATCTACTTCATTGACTACGCAAAAGCCTTTAACTGTGTGGATCACAGCAAACTATGGCAAGTTCTTAAAGAAATGGGAGTGCCTGGCCACCTTATCTATCTCCTGAGAAATCTATATGTGGGACAGGAAGCAACAGGTAGAACTGGATATGGAACAACTGAGTGGTTCAAAATTAGTAAAGGAGTATGACAAGGCTGTATATTGTCCCCCTGCCTATTTAACTTACATGCAGAATACATCATGCAAAGGGCTGGACTGGATAAATCCCAAACTGGAATTAAGATTGCCAGAAGAAATATCAACAACTGCCAATATGCAGATGATACTCTGATGGTGGAAAGTGAGGAGGAATTAAAGAACCTCTTAATGAGGGTGAAAGAGGAGAGTGCAAAAATGGTCTGAAGCTCAACATCAAAAAAACTAAGATCATGGCCACTGGTCTCATCACCTCCTAGCCAATAGAAGGGGGAGATATGGAGGCAGTGACAGATTTTACTTTCTTGGGCTCCATGATCACTGCAGACGGTGACAGCAGCCATGAAATTAAAAGACGTCTGCTTCTTGGGAGGAAAGTGATGACAAACCTAGACAGCATCTTAAAAAGCAGAGACATCTCCTTGCTGACAAAAGTCCGAATAGTCAAAGCTATGGTTTTTCCAGTAGCGACATATGAAGTGAGAGCTGGACCATAAAGAAGGCTGACCACCGAAGAACTGATGCTTTTGAATTGTGCTGGAGGAGACTCTTGAGAGTCCTCAGGACTGCAAGGAAGACAAACCTATCCATTTTGAAGGAAATCAACCCTGCTCACGGGCAGGAGAGATCCTGGAGCTGAGGCTCCAATACTTTGGCCATCTCATGAGAAGAGAAGACTTTCTGGAAAGGATCCTGATGTTGGGAAAGTGTGAAGGCAAGAGGAGAAGGGGATGACAGAGGACGAGATGGATGGACAGTGTCTTCGAAGCTACCAACATGATTTTGACCAAACTTCTGGAGACAGTGGAAGTCAGGAGGGCCTGGCGTGCTCTGGTCCATGGGGTCACGAAGAGGCAGACATGACTTAATGACTAAACAACAAAATGATTTTTCAGAATGCTTGTAATATAAGCCCTACCCAAAAAATAAGCCCAAGTTAAGTGAAACCCTGCCCTCTACCATTGTGCAGCAACCAGAAGATGAAAAAATAAATAAAACACCCCCTGAAAATAAGTCCTAATGCGTTTTTTGGAGCAAAAATGAATATAAGATCCTGTCTTATTTCGAGGAAACACGGTATATTAAAACAATAAAATCAGTACTAAAACATTTAAAAGCAACAGAGCACAAGAATTCATTTAAAAAACAATTGCCACCATTATTATGAAGGTAAGAATTCAAAGTGAAATTTTAGTATTGGTACAACCAGGAATACTAAACATGTGGCGCGAAAAGGTTTATAGATGAAATCATTGGCTAACAGTGGTGGTACGAATATGATTGACCCTAAGTTTGTTCAACATTTTAAAAAAATCAATTGATTTAAAGAAAATTAAGCAAACAAAAACCATTCAGTGGGATTTAAAAATGCTTAACTGTGGGTGGATCATCCACAAAGCTATTATAAAGTACCGGGCAAATTAATCATTTTCTCCATGTTATACTATGGAAGTTCAATGTTATGAGTACCAAGTAAGAGAAAAACACTACATTCCATTTACAAAACATAACCCATTTCTTTATGAGTGTATTTTATTTCATGTTTATGAACCAGCTTTCCTGTATTGTATTTTACCTTTTGCTGATAATGTCCCTTCCAAGAATGAAAGAACTGAGTTCATTGCCTAAAGACAAAATAATCTGTGTATTTTTTTTAAAAAAAAGAAAGACATGAGTTTGAACTCACTGTCTTCTCAGAAGATCTTTAAGGACTCAAGAATAAGATTACAATACAGTATGCACATTTACAGTAAACTGTTGGCAAAGGTGCCAAGAACACATGCAGAAATTTTCAGAGAACTATCATCATGCCGGAGCTGAACGTTCTACCTCAGAATGGTCTTCTCTCAGAATCTATGTGCAGGAAAACAATAAGTGTATAAAAGCCACATATATAGCTCCTATAGTTTTTGACTGAAAACTAATGGAGGTTTTCACATGTGACACTAAAAACATCTTTGAAATTCATGCTATTGAGATGCACATGTCAATATTTTTCATACAAGAATAGAAACCAGAAGATAAATACTTTAAAATAGAAGAGCTTGAATCCAAAGAATTTCAAGTGGAAGGATAAAAAAATGTTCCACGAACTGTTCTGCCAACTATGCAGTACCATAATGTATCAGATGTGGCATTACAACATGTCTAACATGCTGAATAAGGGAACCATCGGTAACATCCACAAAAAGATACGGCACAACAGCTTATTCAAGACTCAGAAACAGCTTACCAGTGGGAACCCCCCCACTTCAAATCTGAAAAAACTTCTTCCATCTTGCACAAAAGCTAGAAAATCCTTGGAAGGGTCACCACAAGTCAGAATTGATTTGATGACAAATCAATTTGATTAATGCTAGATAGCTCAGTGGTTTAGGTATCTCTGGCTGTGGTGCAAAAGGTTCAGAGTTTCAATCCTCACTGTGCCTCTTATGAGCAGAGTCACCATATGAGGCCTTGGACAAACTGCACAATCCTTGGGGCCCCCCATAACTATCTTCTGCAAGGTCTAAAATTGCCATTCCAGAAGTGAAGGGCTTTTTCTACTGGTGGAAAACAGCTCTGGATCAAAGCCATTGTGCACATTTTAAAAAGCTCTTATTGGCATAAACTTTGCATAGCCCAGAAGTTGCTCCTTTTTTTATGTAATATAAAAACCTGTGAAAACATAGTAAGATGAGCTTCTTCACTGTATGCACCAAAATCAAGCCGCAATGCCTTCCTGGCAGCTAGTCTTCAGAGGAAACATCACCTTGGAGTGCCCTCTAGAGGTTTTCAGAAGGCCAAGCCTGAATGCCTTCTGGAAGAATATGTAATGTCACTCTTTAGTCTGGTATTCCAAAATTAAGCAAGTGAGGGATAACTTTAACTGTTTCTTTTCTAAATTGTCTTTTGTTTTTAACCTCTCTTCCATATTCTGAGCAGCTGAAAAGAGGTAGGACAGAAAGCCAATCAACTAAAAATGTCCTGCGCTGTATGTTGTTTTGTTTAGATGTTTTAATATAGCTCTTGTTATATGTGCCATCAAGTTGCTTCTTCCTTATGGTTATATGAGACATTTTTGATATATGTGAGAGATTAAAGTACCCATTCACCATGGCCATCCCCTAGTGAATTTCCCTGGCCAAATGAGGATTTGAACACAAATCTCCTGAGTCCCAGTTTTGACACTTTATTCACTGGTACTAATGCAATGTAGTTACTACATTTCGATTACAGTTGTGAGAACTGCAAGATCTAGTTTGAGTATCAAGTACAGACATCGCTTGTAGTCTTCTCAGTTAATTTTATAGGCCTGAGGTGGCTTCCCTGTCACTTATATGGCTTCTAAAACAAAAAAATGTATTAGTTTAACTTTTAATTTTTTTAATGTCTGTCTTTTTTCCACCACTAGCTGTATAATTAACTCAGCTCTCTTTAACAACCAAGTAAGTTCAACTGACATTAACTAAAAGTAAAATAAAAAAGTAAAAATGAAAATGAAAAATCAAAACTGAAACACCAGTAATCACTATAACCTACTATTGCTATTCAGCCATTTTTTTAAAAAAAAAAGGTTTTTAAAAAGTCAATTACCCAATATGGCCACATCCCTCCCACTTTTTCTATGGTCCTGAGGAGGTCTAACCCTTAGGATGCCAGCAAATCCGAAAATGCCCCTCAATCCCTCTCAGCTTGCTCATGCCACTCTAAACCAAGTCTGGATGACCTGCCACCAAAGACTAGCACCTAAATCTGTCTAGTGTCATTGCACGTGATAAGGATCATGCAGTGTCAGAAAGCATGAAGGGTAAGAGATGCCCACCCACCTTTAGCTCTAGCCCTGTCCACTACTACCATGCAGCTTGACATATTACCCCAAAGTAAAGCTTGTTGCAGAGTACATGCAAAGCTGGCTTTGTTATATTATTTATTATAAAAGGAGGTGGTGACTAGTTTGACATAATCCAGTGAATTCATCACATACCAAAAGTACATGCAAAGCTGGCTTTATAAAAGGAGGTGGTGACTAGTTTTACATAATCCAGTGAATTCATCACATACCAAGGATGTGTCCATATTCAAAATTCTATCCGATCACTCAAGACCCCTTCGTTTGTGAGCAACTGCAGCTCTCTATGGAAAGACAGCTGTTGATAATCAACAATATTAACTTTATTACAGTAACTGAAAAATAGATTCACAGTTTTAACTCAAAGGCTGCAAGTTTTACCTGGAAGCAAGGCCCAGTTAGATCAATGGTCACTATGACCTAAACATGCTTGATATTTTGTTATACCTTACTCTGATATTCATCATATATGATAGTAATACATCTGGTTTACAGCTGAAGAATTGCTGAATAGATAATAGCCAGACCATCTCAGGGTGTCACATGAGACAATTCCTGTTTTTCAAAAGGGGAGAAAAGACTGGCATGACATCCTGAACAGAGTGTGTGACAGATTACGCTTTTCCTGTAGCAGCGTCACACCTTTATATTAATTTTCCCCTGAAAGCAAAAGCAGCCATTTGCTCCTGAGATGACTATGGAGGCAGACATCTGTGTCGACAGAGATCTGCAGCTATAACAAGAAAAATAAACTTTGTTCCCTACATTTTAATCATTTGGATACTCCTAGCAAAACAGGTAAGTTAAAAAAACACTTGATATTACAATGCTTTTAAAAAGTTATAACTTACATGCTGCCAAATCTGAATATTGTAACGTTGAAATATTTTTGTAATGATAATATCAGAACACACAACGAATTCTGGTAATGCAGAGAGCAAGCTAATTGTTCCTTACTGTTTGATGACAGATTTTATCACTTAGTCCTTAAGTGCAATCCAGAGCTAGCCTTAACTCCAAGGGAGTCACTAAAATGAACACTTGTTTGTCGTAGCTTCTGGAAGTTCCATTAATTTCAATGGTTCTACTTGAATAGAGAGGCTGGATTTAGTGTTTGACCGTACTATATGTTTTTGACATGTTCAGTTTCCAACATTGCCTATGAACCTTCAGTACTTTGCTTCAATATATGTGTGCCCAGAATTTTAGTACAACAAACACTGTGGAAGAGAATAAAAAATTGATGAGCTGTAGAATCCAGATTTTTATCCACTCCTTGGTAAAAAAAGAGACATTTTTAGTTTAATATTTTACACTGAATTAATCTATTTGTTGTGTAAACACCTTAAACTGTAGCTGTTCTCCAAACTTGATGTAAATTGGAGTTCTCTTTTTTAAAAATATAGCCAATAATTTACTAAATCATTATTGGTAGAGTCACAATGACTTTTTATGTTTAAACTGAGTTATACCTCAACTTTGTTTGGCTGGACTGAGAAGACCATTTTCGAATCTGGCCTTAGTACAAATTGTAAACACCAATATAGAAATGACATTGCACCATTAAGTTATATTACTTTCTGATAGAAAAAAATGAACTCTGTATTGATAATTATTTAAAGCAGAACGTACATCTACTGGCCCAAATCCTTTATCCATATTAAAGCTACAACTACTCATTTAAGAGCTAAACAATATTAAGTGTCATAACAATATACTGTGAAAATATAGAAAATATAATTACTGGGTGTTCCTTATATCATAATCCCTGCAGATTTTTGCTATGAAGGCTTCACTGCAGTTTTGATTTCTGAACTTCACCAGTATAGGTATAGCTTGATGAGTAGACATGAGCATTAAAAAAATTACTACTTTTATTTTGAGGCTTTCAAGTAAGTATTTAAAGACAGGTATCTATCTCTTGTGTTCTTGGGAATGTAGAATTCAAAGAATCACACTACTGTAGACTTGGAAGGAACCCTGAGAATCTTCTAGTGTAGTCCAACCCTCTCCCAATGAAGGAATAAATTTTCCCCAAGTCTTCCACATAGCACTGTACAAATGGAAAAAAACTAACAACCCACAGTCTGCTGATTTTCTGTCAGCTGGATGCCACTGACAGTGGAAAAGTTGGCAGAGGTGAGATGCCTAAGGGGGAAGTGGAATTTTATGAGGATTTCAGTAGTTTGTCTCTCACTTTGCAGTATCTTGACCAGGATAGAGGTACTGCAGTATTTATAATAACAGGGCTTTGGAAACTTTGACATCCTTAGTTTTGGTGTACAAACACCATCAACCCCAATAACTATAAGCTATGATAAGGATATTGAAGTCTTGTAATCTGAAACATCTGGCGGTCAAATGTTCCTCACTCCTGGATTATAACACTGAACTCCTGTGTCAATCAAGACTTGCCAGTGACTGCTTCCTCACCCTCTCTATTTCCATGGTCCAGTGATGGGTATGTATGTGTGTGAGAGACACCAACTAGCTCTGCATCCCATCAGTCAGATCTAGCCAAGGTATACAGATCTCGTATACCCGAACCTATGACATGGCTACATTGCTCTGTTGTAATCTCCTCAGGACCACACAAATGATTGTTTGAGGACTGGTATCCTGTTCAAATATCTGCCCAAACAACCTAGGCTCTGGGGGTGCTTCATAGACTGAGCGGATGGGTCGGGATCACACTCTAAAATTATGGGAGCAAATGACTCCTTAGGTTGATCAGTAAATCAGGAAGGAGATGCATGTAACTGCCATGGCAGCTAATTCATTCTGTTACATGGGGCTCTGATTGCTTCAGGATCAGGCTACACTTTAACTAGCTCTTTTTTCTCAGTTTCCCTATCTGGCATACATAAACATTTGAAAAACCTTGCATATATTGTACTACAGTGAGTCAGGACCCTAGGAACCCTAGCTCTATTGCTGGAGCTGCAATGACAAAACATACTTCATGGGCAAGTCTGAGAGACAAGCTACCAGTGCTGGATCACTCAGTGGTTTAGGTAGAGGTTGGGAGTTCAGTTCCTGACTGTACCTGCTTTATAGTCTCGATGAGCCATAGGATCCCTTAATCTCAAGGACCTCTGCTTTATAGGGGCTAGTCTCGATGAACCATAGGATCCCTTAATCTCAAGGACCTCTCAGTCATTCTCTACTTTCCTATCTCTGGATTTGGCATTGCTTGCAGGATGCTATTCCCTGGGATACACAGAGCCTCTCTGTACTTTTATACTGTACCCTGATGGTTTTGCTCCTTAGCTGCCATGCAATGCACTTCAGAAGGAAATGCTAGTTCTGGGGTATTCATGGTGCATCTTTCTGTGAGGGCTTATGGTTGCACGATTTTGTAGCTCGTGTGGAGTGTTTGGGTTTTAGCCTTGTGACGTTTCCCCATACTTTTGGCACCCAAAACCACCACTGCTGGTGGGACACCCAAAAGGAAGCTTTGCCTTGTGGTTACTCTGTCAATTTAACTCTTTCCTCTGGTTAGATTTAAACCCAACTTTTCTGCCTTCAAATGCTGTTCTTTCTTGTTGTGTCACCGAGTCGCTCCTGCCAGTCACTGCAAGCTTCCTGTTTTCATTTATCTTCTTCATTTCTGTGAGGAGAAATTATTAGCAAAAAACCATGCACATAGTCTGTCAAGAGAACTGTGGAAATTAAGAAGTGCCTTGGAAAAGTGTTGTTTTTGTTGGATTGCAGCTCCCAGAATCCCCAATGGCCAATAGTTGTTCTGAATGGGGGGGATGCTGGACTTGTAGTCCCAAATCCTCAATGTTTTCTATATTTGCTATTATTAAATCTAATAAAAGTATGTGCCATCAAATCCATTCCAACTTATGCAACCATTTCCACGGCTCCCTAACAGTAAAGCACTCATGGTCCTAGGAGAGTGTACAGCTTACACAAGGACACACAGACTGGTTCTCCTCCCAAGGGACACAGTGGGGAACCCAGCTCCTGACCTCTGGTTCTGCAGCCAGGTAACCAACTCTCTGAGCTATCCAACTAGATAAAATATATTGGGCATTTTTTTTAATACTGGAAACAGTCTGATATTGTGTAATCTTCAACCATTTTCTGCCAGTTGCACTATTATCAGCCTTGTATTATCAATGCATACTCTGCAATGTCCCACTTATTTCAATGGGTTTTACTGCTAGATACTGTACATAGGAATGTAGACTATGACATCTCCACTGTATTTCTCCCCTTCTGTCAGAATGCTGCATGTGTCTATGAATCACTGATACACCTACACATGAGTTCTGGTGCAGGAAAATATATACAGTACAGGTCTTAAAACAGTGAGGGGGAGGAGAGAGAGGTGTACGCCGTCAACCTGTTTGGCTGCAGTTCCTCAATTTGCTTGCTAAAAGTCAATACAGTGGACCCTCGACTTCCAGATGGCTCGACTTAGAGACTTTGCCAGTTACAGACTTCTCTGGCTGCAAAATTGAGGTTCGACTTGCAGCCGGAGAATCGACCTACAGACCAGAAAAAAACCAAAATGGAACAAAAATAGAACAAAAACTGCCAGTGACGGGATTAATTGGTTTTCAATGCATTGTAGGTCAATGGAGACTCGACCTACAGACTTTTCGACCTGCAGCCACCGTTCCAATACGGATTAATTCCGTAAGTAGAGGGTCCACTGTACACTGCTTGGACCGCAAAGGGGCAGTTCCCATGCGGATCCTGAAACCTGCAGTAGGAACATTTCTAGAAAAGATCTTGTGGGATCTGCAGGAAGAGGCAGGAGAGTTCCTGTCCAATAAAAGCCACTGCTGGTTGAGAGTGAAGATAATGGGAAAGGCTGGTTAGATTCCATACATATTTGTACTTTTCTCTCCGGTATATGTAGGCATAAATTTGTCCACTGATCTTTCCTGTGCAAAAGGCCACTTAGTTCTTCAGAAGATGATTAATGTGCAGCAAACATTTAGTTGGGGAAGTTAAGACATATCTTGCTAAATGCACTGCCTTTTTACTGTGATGGTAGAAAGTTCCACACTGGTACAGAATCCAAGTGTATCTCCAAGGGTTTTTCCCCCACAAGTATTCTGTTTTCTTCTCTGCTGAAAGAATTTGCTTGTGGTTGTTGTGGGTTTTTCGGGCTCTTTGGCCATGTTCTGAAGGTTGTTTTTCCTAACGTTTCGCTAGTCTCTGTGGCCGGCATCTTCAGAGGACAGCACTTTGTGCTCTGGTGTAGTTGGCTTTGCTTGTGGTTAGGGATAATACTGGGGGAAAGCCCATACTTCTGACCGCAGAAGGTGTCCCTTCAAATCCTGGGCAATTTCCAGGTAAGGCTGAAAAAAATCGCCTGCCTTGAAACTGCACATTCATTAACAATAATCCTGCGCTAAATGGATCAAGGTCTGCAGAAGGTAGCCTGCATCTTAACGACCCAAGAAAGCAAAGCGGAAGGACAGCTGTAGGGACCTCTGCAAAATTCTCGTCCTAGGCAGGGCGAGAAAAAGCCTTGGAAGTAGCCCAGCTTTTTGCAAAAGCAAAAGAATAGTGACGAAACCCAAAAGACTGGCGCTGCTGTCCTCTTGGCCGGACACGATTACTCGAAAGCCAGTCCTACTACATTCTGGGAAGGGAAGGCAGGACCCCACGCCGAAGCCTGGCGCTGGGCACAGCGCTGATTTCAAGGGGTTTTCGCAGGCAGTTAACAGCAGCGCCCTATTTCGATCGGTGCATTTTTCCCCCTATTGGGGATCGATTGCACAGGGACGACCCGAAGAGGCCAGGTTAAAAACAGCAAAGGCGTGTAGCCATAG